AGAACCAGCAGGGGACTAAGTAAACTTAATTCACAAATGTAACATTGCCCTTACCAAACACAACATCACAATCATACAACCTTAACCCCAAATCTCCTCAAACATTTGAAGAATCCAGAGAGGTTTCGAAGCACATTCACTAGCTAATTAACACAATAGCCAACAAGACTGAAAATCTACCTCCTTGTATCATTATAAGATCAGAGCGTAACAGCTACACAATCCATAACATGAAAATTCCCACCAAGCACAACATCACACCACTCAACTTTACCCCAAATCTCTCCTCCTTCGCGCTTTTCCACCGCGATTTCCGCACACCAAATCTCTTTCTTCTGCAAGAACAGAGCCATTTTCCCGTCGTTGTAACTCACCGTCTTACACCAAGAACACCCCTCATGCAATAAACCTTCCAAACCTTTCACAACTCCCCAAGATCTCTGCTTTGGATCATAAGCTCTCAAACATTTCTCTCGAACATCATAGTAATACAACACATCCTCTATCACACAAGAGCTAGACCACTCCTTAGAATGCAAAACCTCGTCTTTATCGCAATGACCGTCTTTCGGATCATAAACAAAGCTATTGTAACAAGTCCTCATGTAAATCTTACCTTCCATTGTCACACTACTAAACCATCTCTTCCCTTGTTCCCAATCTGGTCTCATCTTAAGCTTCCAATCCTCAGTTTCTGTATCAAACACCATCAAACTTCTCGAAGGAGATTTCATCGGAGAATTTGTTGCATCTGATCCTCCGATTACATAAATCTTCCGATCAATCACTTCAGTGACAGAACAAGCAACAGCTTTAGGCATATCAGCGAGAGTTTGAGCAGTGTGAGATAGACAATCGATAAGCGAAACACTCGATGTGATCTTCCAATTGCAAAATCCACCCATCACATAAATGTTCGAACCAACGGAGACATAGCTTCCATGTAGAGGCATTGGAGGAAGAGACGAGATATGAACCAATCGATTATCACTAGTTTTACCGGAGATTTCATCTTCTTCTCCGTTAGGTTTCCGGCAAAGAGTAAACCAATGAATATCAGAGGTTTGATCTTTGGAAATCGCGACATAGAGACATTGTTCTGTGTTTCCGAAGAAGGATCGTCTCTCGTAAAGCTCCGGCGAAGAGACGAGTGATCGGAAACGCCTGGAGACTTGAGAGAGAGTATGGTAACAGGATCTGGGAACACGAGCAACGATATCGACGAAGATTTCTTCAGGGAGAAGCGAAATCGGAGACGGCGGTTCTTCCTCCGGAGGTTGCTTCTTTTGTGCCCTAATTAAGGAAAAAGACATCTGGAGATATATATACAAATCACACAATCGACGAAACCCTAATTCTATAATCGTTCTGAGGAAGATGAACATACGATCGGATTTTGACTAATTTTTGTTGTGTGGAAAATCTGAGAGTTTTAGAAACTGTCGCGAATCTTCTTCTGTTTCAGGGAGGCGGTTGCAGAATTTCAGAGTTTATTAACCAATCAAATCCCAAAGACGGTTCGGTTCTTCTCTGAATTAAAACGACACGCATGGCTTCTACATTAGGGAAACAACGAAGCGTTTTTTAAGCTATTGCAAAAACAACAGACTGTTTATCTATAAAGACAAACAACAACGACAACCAGTTGGCTTGTTCATGAAAAAAACACACTTTGTTTTGAATGGTTGTTGTTGAACTAAGAAACAAAAGAACTCAAATTTGAGTATTTTCCTTTACAAGAACGAAATTAACCAGAAAATGAGAAACCCAAAAAAAAGATGTTTATTGAATTTTATTTGGTTTTTCCCTTAAAACATTTGAGTTGATAAATACACAACATGAGAGTAGGATCATAAATAACAAGAGACTTGAGAGATCAGTTCCTTCCACATATTCATTCAACACTTCACCTCAGTGAATATTTTTTACCACTAAAAGCTTGGAACTTGGCT